GCAGATGGACAGGGGGTGGAAGTCCACCTCGAGGATGTTGTAGAGGTCACGGATCTCGGGGCGGGCGCGCTTGAGCAGACCCTTGTTGAGGGCATCCTTGAACAGCACCGCACGAGTGGGGGGAGTAGCCATACCCAGCAGGTTGGTGAGACGGGTGTTCTTGTTCTTGCGGACCTCATCCACATCGACCAGGGCACCGCGGGAGCGGGAAGTGCTGATGACGGGGATGGAGAGGGCGGACAGCAGGACAAAGGAGGCGGCCTTGGTCATGTCGGCCTCAGTGACGGAGGGGTTCTCCTTCTTGGTACCCTGGCCAGCAGCCAGAGTGGCGGCGGACTGGCGGAGAAGGTTGTAGTAACGGCTGAAGGCCGCGGCGTGGAAGAGGTAGTTCTCGCTGACCAGGAAGATACGGGCCAGCTTCTCGTAGTAGTTGGCCATCATGACGTTCTTGGCGGGACGCTTGCTGAGGCTGAGGAGGGTGTGGATGTCCTCAATGCTGCGGAAGGCCTCCTGCCACAGCTCCAGCTCGACGGCAACGTTCAGCTGCTGGAAACGGGTGTCCAGGTGGCGCTGGAGGGTATCCGGGTCGCTGAGGTTGATGGCGTGCATCTGAGCGGAGTACTTGGCGGCATTCTGGACGTGGTTACGGAGCAGCTCGCACAGACGGCGGAACTCAGTCTTGCGGGTGTACTTGAGACAGAACTGGAAGGCCTGCAGGGCGGTGGTCTGGTACATAACCTCAAGGCGGGCATTGTTCTTGAGGATTTCGAGCACGGTGCGGTAGGTCTCCCAGAGGAACTTGAGCCAGGGAGTGACAACAGCACGGTCCGTGCGGTCGCGGGACTGCTCACCGGAGACGGTGGCGAGCAGGATGGTCTCGGGGGTCTCGATGGCTTCCAGATCCTCGACGTTGGAGGAAGGGGCGGCGGACTCGAGAGAAGACTGGATCTCATCGGCCTTGGCCTGAGCCTCGGTGACCTTCTTCTCGGCGAGTTCGATGAACTTCTTGAGAACAACCTATACCGGTGAATGGTTAGATACTGCGGTTGGGGGAGGGATGTAGTGTATGAAAGGGGGAAAAAAAATCCTCCTACCTCGATCGTTCCGACGTTGGTGTTCTGGGCGATGTTCTTGTACTGGTAGAGACCATCCTTGGCGGCCTTGCCCTTGCGAAGATCAACACAGAGCTCGACGAAGAGGAGCATCACCGGCTCCAGAGAGGCGATGGGGCTGCTGCGCGTCCGCTTGGAGGTGACATGTTCGTGAAGGACGTTGAGGGCGGCGGGGGCCTGACCCACGGCGATGAGTTCCTGAGCCCTCTGCGGACAAGATACCGGTCAGCATGAATTTTTCCATCACCACATGTTTCCTTTCCCATCCCACGACATAACATTCCGACGATATAATCGAATAATATTCGGGACAAGTAACCGGACTGGCGTACCTTGAGGACATTTTCAGGCTTGATGTGAGGCGGAGGCGGCATGGTGGGCGACGATAGCGGCTGGGATAAGCGATCACAATAGGGTGGATGAAGACGACGATGCTATCCTTCGACTGGGAGAAGGTCGAAAGGGAAGAAAAGGCACGTCGGATCGCACAACGACAGGCGGGCAGCAGGGAGTCGAGGGCGTTAAGGAGGAGCCTGAAGATAGAAAGGCTGCCACGCGACGGTCGGCGAGAAAGACCCAGACAAGAGAACGTCAGGCAGTCAATCTTGTTGAGAAAGACAGACAAGGGCAACTCTCTCTTCTCTCTCTTCTCGCTCTCTGACTCTCTCGTTGTGCGAACCGCGAAAATTCCGGCCGCCGGCGTTCCCACTTTGGGTTAAGCGATGCGGGTCACGTGTTTATCCCCGTGTTTATGGCTTGGGGATTGCAGGGAATTGTCCCCATGGGAATGATTTATTGTACATCATATATTTCTTTTCCATTTATTCCGTTCATTCCAATGAAGACCTACCTTTATTCTGCCAATATTTCCACCATTTTGGAAATGGCTGTTCTCATTCCTCCCTCCTCTCCCGGGTGGACTGTGTTTGGCCCGTTTGAGACGAGACGATCACTTGCAGTGAAATAAGAACATGCTGTCATGAACGCGTCCAAGCTTCTGAACTATGGACTAGTGTGTCTAGATGGAAAATAAAATATACGATTGACAGGGTTTGCGATAGCAAACAAGAGTGTTGCTGCTACTGTTGCTGTTGCTGCTGATGAAGGGGGCGGGAATACTCGGTATAATTAGTAGCTTAGTAGTATGGGGATTGGGGAGGGAAGAGGAGAGACTGAGGGCAACAGTGCTCAGGGGATGAATTGATTGGATAGGATGGGGATCAAGCAGTGATCCATCCACGTGAGGCTCATCAGCCTCCTCCAGAAATAATCAATGCTACAACAAACAATTCAATTCATGGAAACTATATCTATAATAAGAATTAGAATAGCAAAAAGAGGGCTTCTGCATGAGGGAGGGTACAACCTGACGCAAAACGGAAAAACGCCTGCTAGACAGCCTTTTTTTTTGTGCTGACTGCATCCGAGCTATCCAGTCGAACTAAATCGACTAAACTGAACTAGTTAAGTTCACCAACTTCCTCTCCTCACTCTCAGGGGGAGGGAAAGAAGAATTATGGATTCCAGTGGGAAATGAACGGATTGCCCCTGCGACTCACAGACCACCTCTTCTCTCTTCTTTCTTCTACCCCCGATTATACTGCTAGTTAGTAGTTACTGCCAGTAATTCTGCTAACTAAACTCAACTAATACCAAGACTAAAGTTCCCATTTTCCCTCTCTATTTCCCTCCCTCTTTTCCCCCCCTCTTTTTTTCCCTTTTTTCCCTTTTTCCTCCTCTTGGTCCAGCAGTAGTCGTTCGCTTTCCTTTTTGCCCAGCCAAATCCTCCTGGTTCTTCCTGCTCTCCCTAATCTTATTCTTCTTCCTCTTCTTCTTCTTTTTACTCCTTCGTCTGATTCTTACTCACGTTCAATATATCGTGAAGTCGAGTTCAGCCTCTCCTCCTCCTCCCCTCCCCCCCTTCCATTCATTCTTTAGAAATCAATTCCTCGGAGGAACCCCCCTCTTTCTCTCTTCTTCCCCCGGTCGCTGTTCCCACTTACATTCCCTCTTCCCTCCCTCCCTCACTCATAATCGTCTCCATCCTCTCCCCCAAAGTTCCTCCTCCTCCCACCTCTTCCCTCCCTCCCTTTTCGCGTCCGCCCGCCGTTCCCGCCCGGCTTTGCTTTTCCCCTTACTTTCCTGCCGGCTCGACGCGCAAAAAAAAAGAACCTTAAGCTTGAGCCGCCCGACCGATCCTGCTGAATCCACCATCTTCCATCCAACACATCACATTGCTTCCTCTCCACCTCCACCTCCAGGCACATCCACCCCCAACGTCTCTTCCACTTCCGCTGCGACTGCTGCTGCTGCTACTGCCGCCGCCGCCCGATCTCATCGTCGCGCTTACGTCTCCAACTTAATTCGATTAACTTCCCGGGTTTCGCACGTTTCGTCCCCGCTCCAACCGTCGTCAAAATGCCTGCCTACGAGCTCCGATCGGGTGGTGATGTCAAGAACAAGAAGCAGAGTGTGGCCGATCTCAAGTACCGTCGTTTGACTGAGCTCAATGCTCGGCTGAAGGAGGACCTCGACCGGCCTCGTGTCAAGGTGTCCGAGGCTGCTCTGTCGTAAGTTTCCCCCGGCTGTCGTGCTCCGCCCCCCGTCCAGCCACCGCGTGATACTTACCCCATCGCGTTTTATCCAGGTTGATCAACTACTGCAACAACACGCGCGATTTCATGGTACCATCCGTATGGGGTCAGGTATGCGACATTCTTTCTCCACTTGCTTCGGGTTATGCAGCAATGACAGCAGGTTACTGACGGTCGCGCAGGTCGACAAGCGTGAGGACCCATACGCCCCTCAGCAGCAGGGAGGATGCTGCACGGTCATGTAATGGTCTCATGACATTTCCACGTCTTTTGATTCGGACGGACTGAGGGTCGCCGTCAGTCCGTCGGCGCTTTTATATCCCCTCTTGCGATGACAATTACTTTTTCTCACCACTTCTTTTTTTAACTTCTCAACCCTTTCTTTTTCTTTCTATATCTAATTCTCTGTCACCATACCTTGGACCTATGGACAGCCCATCCGCCTTGTTGCTCCGAATGGTGAGCATTGTCAGCGACAAAAAGAAAAGAGAGACCACGGAGAAGCGGATGCGAGGCTCTGGCCCTCGAGGGAGCGCGCTGGACCTGCATGAACTGGGAGGGACTGAGCGGTCGCACCATTGGACTAGTTCATGATCTGATTTTCACCTTGAAACGCGACACACGGCTCCCCGCGGGCTTCCAGTTACACCTTTTTTCTCTTTATTTTCTCATTTTGTGTTGGGCGTGAGAGTGTGCTCGACAGGAGTCATTTCCCTTCTAGTGATTTTATTGGACATCTTTCCTTTGTGTTAGCAGTGATATTGGAAACGGGATGGGGAAAACAAAATCGGACGCCCGGTTTGTAGTATAGATGGGCTAGTTAATATAGTTGAAGCAACTGCTCATACCTACACAGTATTTCAGATAAGCAGCGAAGTAAAGAAAAAGGCAGATCACAGAATGGATCATATGCAACAACCCGGACTTCGGAGAATACTTTTTTAAAATTAATTGACACCTGCACTGGCCGTACATGAGACAGTTAGGCTAAATTCTATACTATAGTTAACATTAGCCAAATTGTTATTTACTTAAAGTAGTCAACTAGTTAACTCAAGAGAACCCACCACCACCCACCCGCTGACATCATCCAATCATCCCCTCCAACTTAGCTACTACTAACTACTCTTCACACAATTACTTACCCGTTCTTCTTTCACTACCATCACCTAAACCTCACCACCAAAGATACAAAGCATCCGATAGAAAGAAAAGAAAAATGACTTCACCCCTCCCACCCCTCACCCAACCCACAACCACAACTACCACAACCAAACCCAAAGGAACAAACAACATGCACAACCACCTCCCCCGCATCACCATCAAATACTGCACTCAATGTAAATGGTTACTGCGCGCTGCATATGTAAGTCACCTACCTCCCTCATTCCCTATACATACATACACACATTTATACATACACATACACATACTCCTAACATAACTAATCATTTAACAATGGTATTAATTTGGAAACAGTTCGCCCAAGAACTCCTCTCCACATTCAGCACCCAACTCGGCGAAGTAGCTCTCGTTCCTGCGACGGGGGGTGTGTTTACTGTTACGATGTATCATTCTTCTTCTACTACATCCACCTCTGGTTCTTCTGCGGGTACAGCACAAGGTGAAGAGGTACCAGTACCAGTAGTAGTAGCAGGTACTGGGAATGGGAATGAGGAGGAGGATGATGATGTCACTGAGATAATTCTCTGGGATAGGAAGACGAATGGGGGGTTTCCTGGTATGTTATTATTATCCTTCCTTCTCTTCCATTTCTTTATTTCTGTATTTCTTTATTTCTTTTTTCTGGTGCATGGGTGTAGAGCTGCGATGGGATGATTGCTAATTGGCTTTTGGCTTCGTAGAAGTCAAAGTGTTGAAAAGTCTGGTGAGAAATGTCGTCGATCCCAGTAGGGATTTGGGACATACGGATCGGGCCTTGAGGGCTGCGAATGTGCCGGTGCAGAGTCAGGAAGGGGGTGAGATGAAGGTTGTGGGGAAGAGTGAGGAGCAGGGTTCTACTACTGCTACTACTACGAAAGAAGGTGACAAGTGTGAGGAGTGTCAGTGATCATCTACTCAACAATAGAATCATCATGTAAATGCAAACAAGCATATATGCTCAAGTCCATTTAAAAGGAATAAACCCATACAAAATATCAAGTACAGTCCTGCCTGAGCCACCTCCAGAACGCCAGTCCACGCCCCGTCTCTAGTTGCCCCGTCCTGCCCGCCTCTGTATGGTGACAAATGAAAATGAAATGGTCAATGTGTAAAATGGATAATGGGAAGTGAAAGAAGAGAGAAAAGATCGGAAGAAGAGGAAGAAAAAAAAAGAGTATCGAAGAAGTAAAGTGCCATGCCAGCCAGACCAGCGCAATGTCTGGCTGAGCATCATCGTCAAAAGCTCAGATATAGCTATATCCACCGAGCCGGTCGTCAAATCATGCAATTCCATCATAAAATCCAGAGTCGTCACCAGAATGTTTCCCATTCATATGTGCCCATGTAATCCCAACCCTCGTTTTGCTCACTCGCGAAAATCCAACCCGCCAGGAACACCGTGAATCATTCCAAACGAGAAAACAAGAGAAAACTGAAATCCAATCAACTTTCCGGGCCATCACGTCTCCCCGCTCAGCTCGTGCTGATGCGAGTGATGTGTGCGCCGCTTCCAGAACGCCAACCGCAGTCGGCTTCGTCGCTTCGGCAGCTTGCGCGGTGGTGCGTGCTCCTTGGACCCGTGCTCGTCCCACCGGGGCCCACGCCCATCGTTTTTCATGCTTCCAGTCGTCGTCGTCGATTGTGCCGAGCTGCTCGTTCCATTCCCCACCGGCGACGTCACCTTGGCAGCATCGTAATTGTGCGGATCGGAAGCCCGGCGAGTGCTCGGGTATGCAGCGCTGACCTGTGGGTGGTTCGATGTGGCCGGTCGCGTGTACGCCCGGTCCCATTCGCCGTCACTCCGACTGATGCTTTCGCGGGGGAAGCCCTTGTCATCGCTGTCCACGCTGAGGAAACTAGTGGCATTCGTAGACGGAGAGATCGGTGTCATGTTGTTGCTGTAGGTGCTGACGCTGTGCGTGCGAGTGCAACTGTTCCGCTGTGAATTCGAGGGCCCCGATGTGCGCCCCGACGAGGCTGTATTCGCGTGCTGGCGTCGACCACTAGGCGGCCCATGTCGCGAGCTACTCGGTCTCCCTTCCACGGAGCTGTTACGAGCACTGGAGCGACCCGATGTGTCGCCGTTGCCTGCAGCAGAGCCATTGGCAAACAGGACAGCCGCCAGAACGGTGGGGTCACTCGAAGCACGAATTGCGTCGGAGCAACCGTCCATATTGTCGCTCAGACGAGCAGAAGGCGTGTTGGCCTGCCCCTCAGGGATAACCCCAGAAGATCTGCGAGAGGCTGCCTCATCTGGCGATGGCATCGAACACCCGGTGATGTCCATAGACGGGCCCGGCGTGTCCGGCGAAACAACGGGACTAATAGTGTTCTCATTATAGTCGCTAGGCGCATCGTCCGAGCCCAGCGGGGTAGGAGCGGTACCAAAGTAATCATCTGGGGTTGACCGCCGACTCGCAGGTTCACTGGTCGGAAGGGCTGGTTTGATGGGGGTTTTCGGACTATTGATGGCTAGCGGCGCGTGGAGGCCCCTCAAACTTGGGATGGGACTCTGAGTGCGGGGCGACACCAAGTCGTCCGGACGAAGATCAGTCTGCAAGGTTTGCCGATTCTTCTCCATGTCGGCGAGGAAATGCCATTTCGACTGGTTGCTGCGGATGTGCTCGACCGTGAACTTCAGGTCGGGCAGAATGTCGGACACGCCCTCGAACAGCGGCAAAGCGAAAATCGACATGAATCCAATCTGGCCGGTGGCGAGCTTGTAAATATTCCCTAATTCCGGTGGGCCGCCGAATAGTGCAGTCTCCATCCCAACCTCCTTCTCCATCTCGCCCTGATTGGCGAATTCCTCCTGCAGGATCTGGGTCCACTTCTCCGCAACATCCCACGGGCGCGCCACGTTACTGATATCAGCGCATTTGATCAGCAGCCCACACAGCAGTGTCTTATAAAGCTCCAAGTCTTGGGGTTTCCACCCATCCACAGTCCGGTTGTTTTCGTGGAACTTCTCCTGGAGCGACCCCAGCCGTTCCATGAATTTCTGGTGCACTCCCATGTCCGTGGCGAGAATAGAGCTGATCAGAAGCTTGCGAAGTTGTCGATCCTTGAATGCGGTCGGCCAGTAGCGGCGCAGGATCTGGGAGAAGGCAGCACAGTGGAATGCCTCCAAGACTGAATTGTCGTTGTATAGCTGTGCCAGCGGGGCATTCAGCTTGACCAGGAAGAAGTTGTTCACGCCCGGATGGCCGACGTCGTGGCCAATGGCGGAGATCAGAAGGGTAAGGGTATCGAACGGAGTGAGGAGGGATGCGATCGGACATTTGTCGCCGACCGTCGGGCTATTAGGTCCATAGGGGGGAAGAGCGCCGATGTGCAACAGGAAGCAGAAGACCGATTGCAACACATCGATCGCGTGTCGGAAGTTATGGTAGAGGACAAAGGAATTATATGAGGCGCGACAGGCGAGAAGAAACGTCCGGAGTTCACCTAGAAGAGAGAGTCCCGTCGTCAGTTGACCTACACTAAACCAATTTATGCGGCAATTTACTTACCTGGTGTCAGCTGCCACTGCTCCAGTTCCGGGTACTGCAGAGCATGCTGCAGCATTTCGAATGCAGCCAAGACCAATTCGTCGTCCGAAAATTCATGGGCGGTAAAACCCCATTGTGCAATGTGTTCTCTTACAAAATCCGCGCGGTCCGGACGAACGTCCAGTTCCCGGTCCTGGAACTCCTCAATAACCTCTTCGGGATTGCAGATGCCTCGCATGAGCTTGGAGACCATGGCTTCTCGAAGATACGCATAGGGCTGCTCGTCATTGACGCCCACCCACGAGTGTTTCCGCAATTTCTTTCGGGAGAGGAAGCGCGACTGTTCCCGGAGAGCCGTTTTACGAGTCCGGTACGCCTGGACAACCAGAGCTTGAGCTCTACAGCTATCCAACGGGGTTACTAACACGTCCACGGCACCAGCATCCAGGCACTTGGAGATATGCTGAGGATCCGGGAAAGACGGAATACGGGGTTGGTCGGCCGGGGAGGCGCTAGTGGGGTCGGCGAAGGGAGGGCGCAGAACAGCGACCGGAACGATCACGTTGGGGCCATCTTGAACCTGGATGTCCGCGGACAACCCTGACAGCAACTTCAGGTCGTACGCCCCTTCCCATTGTGAGGTGAATGTAAAACCGCGACGCAGGGACGCCGGCGACGGAGGCGATACATCGGGCCACGAACCACGGCTCGCTCGGCGGCGCTGCAAAGCGGCCTCCTCGCCGTGTATATCAATGTCGAAGAAAACGAAGATAGGTGTGCAGCGACTCTGAGCCCCGTCGCTTATCTCTGCTAACTTGTTTGCGATAGCGGTGCCGACCTGACAGAGATAGATGCGTTTACAAACTCCTAACAGAACTTGAACGTCGGCCGACAACGATTCCGGTTCCTCGATTGTTCCCGAATCCGACTCCGCGCCTGCCGGTGCCTCCGGAGTACCTTGATACACCCAGCGTTCTGATCGGACACGGTGGTCGATATAAATTGCAGAGCATTCGATGCCATCCATGGTGTCGGTTGGATTTGAAACACCCATCATCTAGGGGGGTCTCCACTCCGGAATGTCAAGTCTCAGGACAATAACAGATGTGAGAGGAGAATATATAGCAGCCTAGCCGGTCCGAACTCGGGTTCATATGGTTGATGGATATAGTAGTACAGGTGGTGTGGGAGGGTCGAGAAATCTCAAGGAGGAACGAACGGCCGGTACACGGTACAAAGAGGAGCGAAGGAGCGTTGAGAAAGTCGAAGTGAAAAAGGAGAGACTTGCGATCGGTGACGTTATACAGTTGGGTTCTAAATTGGTTTCTAGACTGGGTCAGCGAGGGTCAGAGACTGGACGCAACGGTCTGCAGAATATGCGAGCGCCGACAGGAGCAGGCGACAAAAAGAGAAAGAAGAGTGTGCAGCGACCAGCGAAGCAGATGAGCGACGGCGACAAGCCGCCGTCGAGGGGGGTGCGCGCAGTTGAACAATGAGTTTGTTGGCTGCAGCTGTCCAGCAGGAGAATGAGCGATAATCCTTCGACCCTGTGGGGGGTAAGAGGAATGATGGTAACGTGCAGGACCAGCCAAAACCCATTCTGAGACAACCGGGTTCTTTTGCACCGGCACCGCATGCACGCCTCCAGACGGCGGTTGGCTGCGATCGCCACACCTGCATACACAGGCAGTTGCCCACGCAAACACATAGGATTGTTTCACTCACAGGTGTGGAAGAGAGTCGACAGAGGTAAGAAGGAAATTTAAAAGGCGAAGAGAATGGTAGGAATTCGGTCAATGGTGAGAGAGGTGGGAGTGGTAGTAGTGGTGGTGTGTAGTGGTGAGGGTAGTTGTGGTGGTGGTGTGTAGTCAGTTCGTCACCCACGGGGGGGAGGAAGATGGCGCCCGAGTGAAATCGACCCAACGGGGGAAGTCAGAGAGATCGCGACACATGCGAGAATTCGGCTAGATGAAAGCGACGAAATTCGCGACCCAGAGAGAACCAAAGGCTTAGGGCGTCATGGTGGGCCACCGTGAAGACCAGACGGAGAAAAGATGACACGAGACTTTGAGGAAAGAAGAAGGGTGGAGAGGGAAAAGAAGATCGATCGGGAGGAGAGGGCGAAGGGGCCGCACGGGTGGGCGAAGGTTGGCTTGGGTGGATGGTTCGACCGGGTCGGGTCTGGGCTGGGATGTGGGTTGTGGCAGAGTAAAAAAAAAAAAAAAAAAAAGAATAAGAGTCGATGGATTAGGTAAAAGTAAAAAAGGGTAAAATAAGTGATAAATATATAAAATAAAATAAGAGATATTTTAAGGGATCTGTAATTTTTAATCCCCAGTGAACCACTTCTCGGAAATCGAGGGAGGGGGGGGAGGAGAAAAACGGGGAATAAAATATGAAATCAGTAGATCGTGGT